GACAGCTGTTTTGCGGCTTCAAAACGGCCGCGGACGACCCGAAATGGCCCACCGCGGCGTTTTCGCGCCCTCCCCTCGCTTGCCGAGGGCGCGAAAATGGCTGCCCGGGGCCAGGAAACTTCTCTAAGTGGGAAGTTTAGGGCCGATTTGGAACGCATTAAATGAAGTTTAATGCGTTCCAATGGCTTTTTACTTCCCGCTTAGCAAAGATTTCACATAGCGAAGGTTAATCCGGAACGGATTAACCTCGCTATGCGGGGCACCACTGTATTTTGATGTCTGTAAAGACCATCACTAATCAGTACTGTAGGGGTACACATTTCAAAACACAGGATATTCCATTATTTTCCACAAAACTTGCTAACACCCTTCAAGTTTCAAGGAGAAAAATGCAATATATATATATACAATACTTTGGAGAGTTATTTCTTTGATGCCTTTTACACTTTTGCTCAAGCTTACCTCTACATCTGACACCTTCATGCGAGTGCCCTCTTTGCCCACAAAGATATCATCGATGTCCACAAGGATGTAGCGATCAAGGGTCAGACAAAGACGCTTTCCAGTCAGGTAAGCAATGGCATCGACAAAGATGAGCTTGTGTAGCCAGAAGTTGAGGTTATTCCCAAATAGGACACGCTGGATGCCATCATGCAGACCCAAGTCCTGGACCACAGTTGCATGCAGAGCTCTGTGAGTGGTCAGATGAGGGATTGATTCTGATGACTTGGTGCTGGCCATCAATACAGGCTCGTAAGTTGTGTGATTTGACTGGAACACAGTCCAGTCATCACCAGGTAAAGGACCCTGTTCAACCTCATTAGCCTGGGTCACATACAGCAGTGGAGCACTGGGGTTGATGTGATAGTCTCGTAACCCTAGATTGGAATGTAGGAAGAGGGGAAAACCCTTCAGCTGTGCACTAAGCAAGCTGTTCTCATTTGCCTTGAAGAAACCAATGATGCCAACCCCATACTCCACACAATATTTGTCCAAAAGATCCCTGTTCCATGTATCTAGGTTCACATATTTAAGGATGTTCTCATAGATAATAAGGGCATAACGGCCATGATCCTTGTCTGTTAGCGTGGGCATGTCCCCCTTTCCAGGAGCAATCTCTGTCCTGTATTTAAACCGGCTAGATTCCAAGATAGCCACAATCTCCTGACCCAACTGAGAGTAAATGCTTTCAACAAAGACAAGCACCACAGGGTCTGTGCGGGAGTTATCTATTGATTTTGTAAGTCTCCAGCTTGCCTGGGGCTGAATAAGGACCCTGTGCTGGTTGCTACAATCGCTGAAGGGCAACGGGGGTGGTTCTTTGATTTTGGGACTGTTAGTGACATAGTAAGCCAGGAAACACATGGAGATCAGGCTGAAGGCAATGAGCAGCAGGATCAATCTGTGGAGTTCCAGCTGTCGCACATGCCGCACCACTTTCCACAGCTGAATCATGATGAGGCTGATTGCTTCAACTTCCTCAAGCTTGGCACCAACCAAGCTGTCGCCGATGTCTCCAACGCCACCACTGGAAGAGCCAGTGGCAGCTCACAGAGAAGAAATGTGGGCTGCTGAGAGGGATGAAGCTTAAGCAAGCAGCTCCAAGACTAAACGCCCAGTGATCTGCCATTTATCTCAAGTGACCATGGCATTCAAGTCCCATTGCTCCTCTAAATGCTGCTTATCTCCCCAGTTTCTCCAAGGGCTGAGAAAAGTCCTACGAAGGAGGCGGGTCATGTGCACGTATGAATTCCTTGGCTTCAGACACAAATAACAGGCATCAAGACAGGAATATACAGGCTTGCCACAAACTGCAGAGCTGCCTTAGCTAGTTGGCTTGCTGGTCACATGGTGGATTCCTTCACTTGGCAACCTGCAAATAACAAATAAATCATTCATTAAGTCCAGATAAATTGGGCAGAGGGGAGGAACAATTATGGGCTAATGGTATAGCAAAAGACACATACTTGTTGGTTACAATCATATCATTTTGTTTCTGGTGTGATGGCTAACAGTGCAAGACAGGTGAGACCAGTAACACATGTCTGGTACACAATGCCTCCCTTTATGATACTCCATTCCATTTCCTCCTTCACTTTAGTTTTTTCTACTACTCTACACTTATGCATCCCACACAGTTGGTGTTGTGCGCCCACCAAATACTGTATTTTTCCGTGTATAAAATGAGACTTTTTACTTAAATAATTAGACCAAAAATTGAGGGTTGTTTTATACACAGCAGGCACCCACTTTCCCTGCCTTTTGCGAAGCCACAGAGTAAAGCAGTCATGAAAGGGCAGCACACCCACACCACTTTGATCCTGAAGCAGCCATGAAAGGGTGTCATGATCAAAGGGGTGCAAGCGCACTGCCCTTTCATGGCTACATTAACCATTTCCTAAGCTCTGCAGGGCTTAGGAAGCGGGAAACACAGCCGGGAAAGGGCGGGAGGATCAAAGGGCGCGAGCATGCAAATTTTCTAATTTGGGGCTAGAAAAGGGGGGTTGTCTTGTAAACGGAAAAATATGATATGCTCAGTCTTTCTCACTCTGTTTGATGGATATATTTATCCTGTTATTTCCCTACCCCCACCCCATAAAGATGTTTCAGTTTCTATAAGCCTTGGGACTATTGTCAAATTTGTTTGTTTTCTTCATCTGACCTGCCTTTGGCTACAAGACTCTCATAACTCCATATCTGTGTTAGCTATCTGTGTATATATTATAAACCAAAAGATCTTGCATAAAATCTAACTTCTTGTATGAATCTGCAAGCTGTGTTTTGGCTGTCTGAATTACTAACCATGATATCACATTTTGTAAGGTCCACTGATAAGGCAGAAAATCAAATTAACAAGCTTCTGTTCCACAGAAGTGCTGATCTGGATATTTAGGAATGCTCTAATACTACTGATACATAATATCATCATGCAACTATTCTGTTCCCTAGAAAAGTCTGCTACAAATAGAAGACATGGAAAAAGGAGACTAAAGACTTTGGAGTTTAATCACTCAGCATTTCTTTCCTTTACTTATGATTTCAGAAAAACTGCCAAATTCACTTAGACTTCATTCTGAAAAATACTTGACCTGATTAATACCACCAGGTAAAGGGGTGTAAAAGCACACATTCTAAACCAAAGTTTTATTAGGACATTTATTTATTTATTTATTTATTTATTTGTTTATTTGTTTATTTATTTATTTGTTTGTTTGTTTGTTTGTTTGTTTGTTTGA